TGAATGCTTCTGCACTGCTAGTGCTTGGTAGGGGCCCAGAGAAGATGACAGTGTCGGCCATTGTGCTAGCCAGCTTGCACACGGCGGCGACTTGCAGCTTCAACACCTCGGACTGTTTCCGCCGAACGTCATTACCACCCGCGTGAATAACAATTCGACGGAAACGCTGCTTGTGGGTCATCATGAGCCTCAGATTCCCAAGCCTGGCCCCAGGGAAGCACCGAACAGTGGCTCCTGGGATCTTAACACCTCTAACAATAGAGGAGCCAATTACCAGCGCATCAGCGACTCCATCGGCTCTCTCAGCAGCTCTCTCAGCGGCTCTCTCAGTGGGGCCTTCTTCCCCGCCCGGCCGCGCGGGGGCGCAGCCGGACAGAGCGTCCCAGCGATTGTAAATGCTAACAGGAGGAGGCCCAATGGGGAAACTACCAACAACACGTCGCCCTCTCCGAACAGTCACAAAGCCATCACTATCCTGGTCTTGTCCCAGCTGCGGAGGACGGGCTGGGAGGCTAGGCTCGCTAGTTCTCCTCTGCCTTTCCCTAAAGCTGCGCTCCGCTGTCCCTGAGGATACGGCCTGGCTGTAGCTAATGCTAGCGCTAGCTCGAGACTCCAGTGCTCGGAGACGCAGCTCTAACTCACTGACCCTGGATTCCAGAGCTACGACTACACTACACTTCACACATCTATCACTACCCTCAGAGAAGGATCCAGGGTTTAGACTCGCCATATGGCAACTCGAGCAGTAAAGGATTGAGGGAGAGACAGCAGCCGCCATAGGAGTAGCGAGTTAGCGGCTAGGCTAGGCTAAGCTAGTCCGGATCCGGACCCGCACAACAGACTCCGAGACCAGGCAAACAACCGCTACCTAAACCTCAGCTACAGTACAGCTGACTCGGAGTGCTTACACAGTTAGCTTGGTGTACAATACGTGGATTTGTAATGTGTTTGTTAGTGCAAACAGAGAGCAGAGTGATAGTAGTCAAGAAACACGCTCACCGGATACAGGAAGTGCCTGTATCCGGAAATCTCTCCATCCTCCTTCTCTGGGCTGATTCCAACACAACAGAAGTTCGCTGTCTGTTGGTGAAAGGTGAAGCGCGCAGTCCTCGTGAGCAAAACAACAAATGTAATCCCCAATGGAACTAATAAGGATTTTACAGTCAGCGAACAAGAGCTGGAGCTTTGGAGATGCCATTCGATGTTGTCAGTAACGTTTGAGCCACGTTTGAGCTACTATTTTTACCAATCTCGACCTTAGAAACACATGAGTTAAGATCCAGCTACAGAGTTGGACAGCTCAGATATGCTGCTCAGCAGGGGGCGCTCTCTCACACCCACGTGAGGGAAAAAAGTGTAAATTCTCTGCCTGCTATGACCCCCACTTCCCGCACGTACATTTGGACATGCGCAGAAGCCAAGAACAAACGTAAACAACGATGGAGGCAGGTACACTAACGAGCTACTTTTGCTTCGAGCGCTAAAACAAAAACCACACCAAGCTCTAGTTTCGGTTTCAATTTTCGCCGCTGCTGTTAAATACAGAATGTTGGTGCATTTTGTCACGTCTTTGCTGTAGATGTTGTTGAGGAAGTTAATATACTGCTGGGGGGTCTGGGGCTCACGTGTGTCGTGTTGTAAAGTTCCTCTGCCCACTACTGGCCGGGCGCTAAGACTACATCGTTTTTCATCCTTGTATGAACGATGTGAAATTTGCATAAGGAGTCTGGTCGTTTCTGTTAATAGCCTGGAAACGTCTGTGCAGCGCCTCTGTATAAACGGGGCCTCAATTTCAATGCATTCTTGTATAGCCCTACATCACAACAGTAGTTCTGCATGGCGTCGTGGCAAGAGCTCTGGTGTGTGCCTCTCTGTCTGGTGCACACTGGGGTAGTCTTGTATAGCTTTTCCAATGTGGTTTTACTGCAAATGACAAATCAATTCTTGAATATTGAATCTTGAGTTATCTTAGAGGACTTTACAAAACCGCTGAATTTGCCAACACATTGATCCATCCAGCTCCTTGTAAACAATTTGTTTGTTGAGGGGGGTGCATCAGACACCGGGGATGGGGCAGGTTTGTCCCAGTTTGGACAAGGATTTAAAGTTGTTTCCTTGGGCCTTCTTCTCGTGTCGTCTCTCACCTGCTGAGAGAAACTACGACATTGGAAACTTCTTTAGTGGTCTTGGCTCTTCAATGGTAGGATGGTAAAATAAAGATTCAGATTCAGTTTATTTGCCATTTGCAGTAAAAACACCACATAGGAATACATTAGCAAAAGTCTCCAGTGTGCACAGACAAATACAGACACAAAACAACATTAAAGACAAAAATAAAACAAATAAAACAGTAAACAAATGTCACTGTGAAATCGATCGACTAAAACAGTTTCAAAACAAGTGCAAATCATTAAAGTGCTCTGTTCACACTGATAACAGCTTGTGGATAAAAACTGTTAGCGTAACGAGATGTCCTGCATCTCAGAGAGCGATATCTTCTGCCAGAGGGAAGAAGCTGGAACATGGCTTTCCCAGGGTGGCCAGAAGAGTCATTGACAATCCTAAGAGCTTTGTTTAAAAGTCTGGATTTATAAAGAACCTCCAGAACAGGAAGCTCACAGCCCACGGTCCTCTTTGCAGAGCGGAGCACCTTGTTTAAAGCTCTCTTTTCTTTATCTGTGATGTTTCCAAACCACACAGACACAGAACCAACAAGTAAACTCTCAATGGTGCAGCAATAAAAGTTAAGCAGAATCTTAGAGTTAGTGGTAAATTCTCTAAGTTTACGCAGAAAGTAGAGACGCTGACGAGCTTTCTTAACGACTCGGTGAGTGTTTTTAACCCATTTCAGGTCGTTAGACAGAGTTAAACCCAGAAAATAAAGTAAAATAAACTCTGGATCTATAATTGCACGTGGTTCAGAAGTATTTACAGATGTGTATATTCTACTTCAGCAGCGGAGGACATGAGCAAACATCAGTAATAATAAGGATCTGGAATCAGCTGTTCTGACCCGGTGGATAACATGGATCTAACAGGTTGATTCAGGATGTCTAATGAAAGGATTGAAATGTGTTTATGGCGAATAACAAGATAATACAATATTCATTCGATGAGTCTTTTGAACATTTCGGTGATGTGGTAAAGCAACATTTGAGACTTTTTTCCAAAAAAGGGCTTGTTGCAAATCTTTATTGATGTTTATTACCATTTATTTATTTAGGCTTTGCATAATGTTTATATACAGGAACACCATCACATGTTAGATTTTTATACCCAACAAAAGGACAGTATTATTGTTGTAGACTCAGTATTTTAGTCTATCAGGTGAAGCGTTAGTTTCCTTTATTTTTTTTACTTGCAGTTTAGATGTTTCTACGTCCTATGGAAGCACAGTATAACTTTCGCTGACAAAACTTTAAACTAATACATATATTCTTATATTCATATATATGCAACAAAGAGAAAGTATCTGTAGTAACAAAGAGACGGTATCCTTAGTGACAGAGAGACAGTATCTTTCAGATTCAGATTCATTTATTACTTTGTCTCTTGAGGGAGAAATGTGTCTTGGAGCAGGGGGGGTCAGTAAAACCCAAAGATATAGAGATAAAAAAAATTTAAAAAGCAGACAATACACACAAAACAGACAATACACACAAACCAGACAATACACACAAAAACAGACAATACATTCATTGACACTAATGCAAAATTAGCAGCTGTATGGACTGAGGTACAAAAGAGTTCTTAAACCTATTGCTTTTGCACAGTGGGATCCTGTACCTCCTCCCAGAATGCAGCAGTTGTTCTTTAGCAACGAAGAGACAGTATCCTTAGTAACAGAGACAGTATTTGTCCACTATTGGTCTGTCTCCTTTTATGGACTCCCTGGGTTATCAACCGCCTCTTTCTCCAGATGAGGAAAATGGCGTTTCTGTGTCTTCCGTCCACGCGTATATCAGGCCTTGGTGCCACATTTGGGGAGTTGTTAGAGGCTTGGAGACGTACGGCTGCCCGTAATGGATAGATGGCTGACAGGCATTTGAGACGGGCTCCTGATTACTAACCTGGACAGTAAATTAGCGCCTAGAAATCGAGAAAAGTATCAACCCCTCGGTCACCGGACTTTAGTAGCCATCTTCACTTAATGCTCATCCGTCTTTCCATGTGTCTCTCTTCAAACCTGTCTCACTCTCTACCATTCCTCTCTGCCCTCCCGTCGGTTCCCCTCCTCTCGCTTGGGTGATTGATGGCCATCTGGCATTTACTGGCATTCTGGATGTCCGCCGGCAGGGTTGGGGCTTTCATTACCTTGTTGACTGGGAGGGTTATGACCTGGGACTTCTACAGGGCCACTCCGGACAAGACATCAGGAGTCTACCGATAGGGGATGGGGGCAGACACTTCCTGGGGAGGGAAGACCATGGGAAGACCCAGGAGGGACTATGCCTCTCAGCTGGGTTGGGAACGCCTCGGGATTCCCCCAAATTATCTGGAGGAGGTGTGTGTGGAAAGAGAAGTTTAGGCGTCTCTACTTGTTCCTTACAGATACAGTATAGGAGGGTGTAAAGACATTGAATGATCCGGGACATTAATGATTCTGGTACCTATGTGTTTGTTATTATGGTATTTCCAATGTTAGAAACATTTGAATTCTCTGATATGTTTTTGATTAATCTACATCTTTGTTAAGTCCTCTGACAACTGCTTGTTTAGGACATTTATAAAGTGCTGACCCCACCACCCAGAAACAGATAAAGCAGAGGTAGATGGATGAATGAATATTTCTATGCAGATCTTACATTAAATGTTGTGTGTGTTGCAGGGAAAGTGCTCGAGCACCGGTGATCCTGTGCAGCATTCTGAACCAGGCCTCTTTCCTGCAGCTACTTTAACACTTTTCTCTCCAAAGCAAGTATTCCACGTGTCAACTGAAGAAAACTCATTTACTTGTCTTTGTCTGGGCACTTATCAGAGCCGGCAACACATTGTGCAGTTCAAGCTGGAGCTGTCTGGCCTTTGTGTCCCGGGTAGTTACAGCGTGACTGATTTCTTCCAAACAAGTGTTCCTGTGAGCCGCTGCTGTCCCAGGTGCACGCAGCCCACGCAGAAACAACACTCTGCACCTGTTGTTCTGACGCGCTCTCGAACTCTATGTCCACAAATATAAAAAGAGACTTTTCAACAGTTGTCTTTGTTGTCTTGAACGCTCCATCTGTGCTGAATACAGGTAAATAATATTCTCTTTACAAATGTGACCGAACAATTAGATTTGAATCGACCGGGATGTATTCTCCCTCGTCTGAGTGTTTTAAGTCTTGTCGTAAGACACTTGTAAAACACATGTCACAGGGTAAAATGAAGGAGAACCCAAAATGCAAGAATGCAAAATGAATAATGATTTAAGGATATAAATACAAGTTCAAGATGAAAAACAAACTCAAAATCAAACGGGACCAGGAAAAGTCAAAGAAAATGGACCAGCAACAAGGGGAGAGGAGTACAGGTACATATAGACACAGAGAGACACTGGGGTGGAACACATTAAGGAGGGGCAGACAACCAGGCGAAAACCCACACGTGACAGGACAGTTCATACAAGACTTACATTGAAAATTAAACTCCTCCGTGTGACAAAAACTAAACCGTTTTTGTCACACTCACCATTTTGTGCTTGGCTTAAAAATTCTGTGTCTGTCTTTCCCTGAATCTGGTCCTTTTTATTTTTTGTGAACCCAGTTATGAGCCATAAAGAGCGACCAATCAGATGCCCTAATTTGAAGGGGAAGCTCCCGCTATATAGAAAAATTGGCTCCAGCTAGCTTATGTTCAATTCTTTTACCCCATAAACCTCTGTGTTAACTGAAACAACTCATCCTCAGCTCACCAGGAACCTACAGCTTTCGCAAAGGAAGGATTTTAGTCTTGTTTGTCATCATGAACTTTATTCCATCCGTTAATATAAATCCGTACTTAAATCCAAACTTGGCTCTCGTCCCACTCTTGCTTCGCTCAGATCTGTGCATGTGCTGTTGGATCCCTCCCTCAATGTTGGAATCTACCAGGTTTCTCACTCTTGGAGTTGTTCCTTGCAGATGCAGGAAGATCCAAGAACAGTGGTGATGTTCCAGGGTACTCCACATTCAAGGAAGATTATGGACTTTATCAACATATATGACTCTTCCGCCCCAAATGGACCGATGATTTTGGAAAGTCCCCCAAGATAACTACTGTTGTGATAAAGGGCTAAACAAGAATACATTGACATGAATCGAATGGGTCTTCCCTTTTGCGTTTGACAGATTATGTCATAGTAGCTCTCTGTCATTTCTATTTTGTAACTTATTTCTCCAATTGAATAAGATTAAAGATCCCTGATTGCATCGATCAGCGATAGATCGATAGATTATATTTCAGGAAATGTCCTTAAAACGTCAGCAAAAGAATATAGAATGAAACAGTTTCCACATATTTGAAATGAAGAAACGCTGAACAAGAAACTCTCAAACAAGGCCCACAGAAGCAGCAGTCGACATAATGAAAGCCCATTAGAAAAACAGCCTGCCTTCCCCCTGACACACATTGGAGCTTTACAGGAGTGAACCGGGAGGCACGGCGACGCAAACTTGCTCTCCGCAGGAAGTTAATTACTCATTACAGGCTGCCGCTAATAAAAAGATGGCCTGGTACACCGTGAGCGTTTACCCACAGCCTGCGGCGGCCTCGAGGAGAGGGCAAATGAAGAGGCGTCGTGTTCAGTCACTGTCCAGGAGGTCGGTGTCACCTCCGCCATCGCAGCCCGCACCGAGTCACGCCGCTTAATTAAAAAAGTACAGCCCGCACGCACACAACACAGACCCATTTCATTAGCGTACCTGCATGGACACCGGTAACACGCAGGGATTCATTTTCCGCACCGTATCGGCAGCTCAAAGCCTGTCGTACGATCACTCAGAGAGAAGATAGAAGCAAAACAGGTGAGAGAAATGTCATGAGCAGCACCAATACATGCAGGACATCACAGCCGCCTGAAAAAGGCTAATTAAGCAGTGGCGGATCCTCAGGGAATGAAGGCCATCTCTGCTGACTTAAAAATAATCAGGAAATATAGAAATTAATTTTTTTTTTTTTTTAAACACAAATATGTATTAAAATATTCCCCATAGTCTGTATTCTTTCATGACATCGTTTTCCTTTGTTGGTTGTGCAGCTTCCATGGACCAGCTTCCATGGTTGTGCAGCTTCCATGGACCAGCACTGTTGCCAGTCCTCCAAATGTCGATGAGCTAAAAGTGCATGAAAACGAACTTACCACAAACCACAGTATATAAAAATAACAAACACAATCCTTCAGTTGTTGCAGCAAAACAGAACGGTTTTAACCTGGATTTGAACACTTCTTTCTCTATTTATTTATTTACAAAACTTACAATCATACAAGTTATACACTTTTATATTGTAGAGTTGGTTGGTGTTTTGTAAAAGGGAACTCTCAGGAAGCTGAATTACACTGTCACAGTAAAAGCCTGTCACACATTTTCTGGAAGACAGTTACAGCTTTCAGCTGCATGAATCAGAATTGCTGCCTCCCCATGTTTAGTCCTGACTCTAAAGTCCCAGCAGGAGGCCAGTCCCTGTGCTCCTCAGAGTCCCAGCAGGAGGCCAGTCCCTGTGCTCCTCAGAGTCCCAGCAGGAGGCCAGTCCCTGTGCTCCTCAGAGTCCCAGCAGGAGGCCAGTCCCTGTGAACATGGAATAAAAACAATTGAACCCTCTTGCTGTGAGGCATGAGCACTAACCACTCAGTGTGTTTTTTTTTTGCCATTGTCTAATTCTAATTTATTGGACACACACACCCAGGACTCATTCTGATTGTATAAATGTTGTACAATTAACAAACTAAATACAAAATCGAGTATTATTCGTGAAGACCTGACTGAGGAGGTTTAGAGTCTGTGGACCGAGTGACATGAACTCGACTTGAGACTAGACTGGGACTAGTGCCAAAGACTTAAGACTCAGTTGAAGATCTCTGCTGATGACTGTCCTGGTGTTTAGAGCGGCCTGTGTTCGGCTCCAGAGGATGGACCAGTGAGGAGGTTTACATCCCCCGCACAGCAGCAGCAGCCTGGTGGGGGGCAATCAGCCTCCCAGCAGCCTCCCTCTGACTGCTCCATTTCAATAATTACAATACTGTGTGGATTGATCAGAGAAGCTGCAAGATTAAAGCAGCACTGATGAGTTTGGAGCGAGGTGGTCATCTGTTCAGAGCTGTTTCAAAGTCCAATCTTCCTCTTACTAGCTCAACTTAAACCAATAAGGGTAGTCAGTTTATTGCATGTCAGTTACAAAAGGCTAATATGTAACTGACATGCAATAAACTGACTGACCTTAAAGGTATAACCTGTTATTGCATAAAGACACATCATTGTTTCAACACATTGTTTTACTTACATTGGATTTGCAAGATTTTTGCGTTTTGCATTCATCAAACATACAGTATAAGTTAACACTAACTTCATTATCCGTCATTGCTCTGAGGGCCTCTGTCTGTAGAGGTGGTTACTGTAGTACAGGGCCAGGGGCCCGTCCCCAGATGTTGATGCTCTTGATGGATAGAGCAGGAGGAATTAGCACATTGTACATGTACATGGGGAAACCATTGCAGACACAAGAAGAACATGCAAATTCGACTCCGGGCCACAATGTGTCTCGGACTTCTCTTTGGACCAGTGGGGGCAGGTCCTGGCTCAAAAACGTCCATGAGTACGTGCACTGACATACTTGCAGTCTCACCCCGGGCCCGGGCCAGTGCGGGTGGACCCAGAACAAGAATTATCCAGTGTTTTTGTACGGCGTCTTCTTTCCTCTTGTAACCATCTTGCAACCAGGAACTCTTGGCCCAAAGCCACGTTCCAGGTGTGTGTCACTGCTGGGGGGAGTATATATTTTGGACCACTCTAGTTCAGCCGCTGTCCCTTTCAGAAGGGACTCGTTAAATGAATGGAAGGCAAAAGTGATGGCACATTAGTTTCAACGGTGGAGATAGGCATGACTACGTCCGATAACATTTACAGTCTACGGTTTGGACATGCCTGATGTAGATGTTATGACAAACACAACAATTAAGCCCCAGTTCAGCAAATAATAACTTAATGATCCCTGGTAACAAAACAAAAAAAATCTCCTTCTGCTGTTTCCTCCTCCTGCTTCTAGAAGGAGGAAACGGGGAGCCATCTCAAATAAAAAATTGAGGGAAAAAACCCATGTCATCGCCTTAGGATTTGTGCAGCAACTAATATGAATTAGTGAGTCGTCGTAGTTAAAGCTGCTTTAGTTCTGTGTTTGCATAGATAACGTAGTAATAAAAGGTAATAAAAACCGTTCTTTAAATCAGTCTGGCAGAGTGATGACCGAAGATCTCTGCTGTAATGGGGTACAGCAGAGATAGGGGTTATACTGGACTCAGACTTACATTTTAATAGCCACATCAGATCAGTATCAGCAACATCAGCAGCTTTTTGCTAGGATCAAAAATACAGTGTCTAAAGCAGACTTGGAGAGCATTGTCCATACATTTGTCTCCAGTGTTTGACTATAACGGCCTCACTGGTCCAAACGAGCTGTAAAACAGCTGCAGTATATTCTGAATGCTGCAGCTCGAGTCCTGACTAGAACCAGTAATTACGATCACATTAGTCCAGTTCTCAGGTCTCTGCACTGGCTTCCTGTGGCTCAGAGAATAGACAAGTCTCTCCATGGCCTCGCACCAAAGTACTTCAGTGACATGTTCGTGCCATATGAACCAACTCGGACTCAGAGCAGCACAGGCACTTGGTGCCCAGAGTCAGGACGTAACATGGGGAGGCTGCATTTCAGATTCTGGAACAGTCTTCCTGAGAATGTGAGACAGGCTTCTTCACTGACAATGTTCAAATCCAGGTTAAAAACATTTATGTTTTGCAGTGCATACAGCTGAGAGATTTTATCTACATTCTTGTACTGTGATTATTTATGATTTTAATGTCTTGTGTGACTGTCTCTATCTTGTTTTGTTCAGCACTTAGAGTTTCCTTGTTGTGCTAAACAAATAAACTTGCCTTTCCTAATGTTGCTTAAGCACGACAAAGTATTTGTAGTTTTGTTTCATGACAAGGTGAAACTTCCACTCTTAGCTAAAAAGCAGTTCAAACTCCAGGAGACGGTCCGTGTGTGGTTGGTATTATGCAGACAGGTGGAGATTTAAATGAAATCGTTGTGTTTCTTCTCAGGTGAAAGTGGATCTGTCTCATCAGCTGCAGCTGAGCTCAGATGTGCTTCTTATCACTCAATCAGACTCAGAGAAAAGCCATTAGCGCTTCATCCACAAACACTTCACTTTCCACAAGTTCTTCAGCAATTAGCATCTAATCCAAATGTTCCTCTCAGTAGCACCATCGAGTTCTGAAGATTTTTTGCTTTTAGTTATTATTTTGATTCAACAAAAACAGATTTACAAAAAAGTGTGTTTTATGAGTGCAATGAGAAAAACATATTTCTAAGATTTTAATCATGCATAAGTAAAAGGTAAGAAAAGACAAACTTGATTGATCTCACAATGAAAAAATGTACGTGTCACATTCGGCACAGACAGAATGACTCAGAGTGTGCAAAAGACAGAAGTGTGTAACATGTTAAAGGTTAAAAATGTAGTTTGTGCAGGATATAATTATGTACAATAAAAAGTGGCATTAGCAGTCCTAGTGCAGGTCATTAGTGACTTAAAGTGACTTGTTGTACAGTCTGACAGCGGTGGGGATACCCTCACCCTGCCCCCCGCCCCTCTGATAGCCACATTGGCCGGCAGTCGTGTTTCATACAAAGCACACTGTGTCTATCCAATTGTGTGTGAAACTCTGTGTTATTGCTCTCTGCTGTTTCTTACTTGCACACAGCGCCGCAAATGGCGAAGTGGCTCGCTCTCTGCCAAAACAATTTCCATGTGGTAACTTTTGTTTGTTACTTACGTGGCAATAAAAAAATATTCTGATTCTGATTCTGAAATGGTCTGAATCAGAGAACTCACTTTATCTGGGGGCCGCATGAGGTCGAGTCTGGGTGAAGCCGACCGGCATTAGGGGATATGTTTGTCACGCGTTTGTGTGTGCAGAATGTGTGACCATCAGAGCAAACTTGAACACGCAGTTTAGGGATGAATATTGTAAAGTGCTGCATTTGAAACAGTGCCATCTTTTCATTTTTTAGCATTAACATTAGATAAGTAAACGTTTGGGCTCAAAACAGACAAAAATAGGAAAACATATAATCCAATATTTATTCATTTCACAACAAAAACCCAAAAAATATATATATGTTTGACTTGATCGCATAAATGAGTGTTTGAAAGGCCACATTGATTGGTCCCTGTACAAACCAGCGCTCCCGGGTACCTCCACTGTCGCCCCTGAAACAAAACGTCTCTCACACATACTCAAACACCATTCAGCATTCTTACTCTGGCTTTTAAGTGTGGTCCTCATTTTTTAGATTTTTTAAAATGTGTTTTATTGTTTTAGTTTATAGGATATTTTTATATTCGATAACTAGTATTTTCTTGTTTTTATCACATTTATTTTGTTAACTGGTATTTTACTTTTGTATTGTTTTTACTTTGTGCATAATGTTTTACTTTTAAACATAAGGCTGGCAAAACCTGCATATTTAACACTTTTGAAAATAGTTTTATAAAATGTCCTATATGAATAAAGTGGATTGGATTGGACCATTCAAACACATATAACATGTGCTGGAATGGCT